CACACACACACACACACACACACACACGTACACACACGTACACACAGACAGATGTTGTGATATATCACTGACTTCTCGTGATTCTCTCAAGTGCAAAAAGGAGAGAGGAGTTGAGTCGAGCCAAGACTGTGTGTGTCTGACTGGCATGTGTGTTGAGGTAGAGGTGAAGAGACAAGAATTTAAAAAAAAAAGAAGATGAAAACACGTTATAGAATAGTGGTCTCAAATATGTGGACCGGGGGCCATTTGTGGCCCACATGATATTTTGCGGTCTCTACTTGACATCAAATTTAACGGTAGTGTGGCTGTAAGGTTTTTGTTGTGTTGTTGCCATGGGAGTATTGTGTTGTTGTTGTTGTTTTTTTTTTTTTTTAATTAATGGCCGAGCATAGCTCAGGCTCATGACAGCTTTTAGCAAACGTAATTCTGCAGTGAGACAAGTGGAAGTTAAAATATATCTTGTCAGCCAATCCCAAGTCATGTCTTTTCAAAAATTGTTGTGGAGAGAAAGGTTCGGTGATGCGAAAAGCCGGTTGAAGAAAAACAGGAGAAGGAGTTTTTGTCTTGTGAGAGATGCGATAGAGGGCCGGATCGCCAATTTAGTTTCCGTTCCGAAGAACTGTTAATGTTCTGAACTGTTATTAAAAAAGATTGAAAAGATTGGATGACTTGTACTTTTTTAAAATACTTGAATCCCTTTTTTTGCAGACTAGTTGATAGTTGACTACCGACTTGATATGTGTGTCCCAATAAATAAGGCAAGAAGAGTTAAAGAGTAAAGGAATACAAACAGTCTTCTGATATCGCTAATGTTGGTCTAAATGAGTGTGCAGAAATTTTGACAGGCACACCCCAAAATCTTGTAGAAGGTCCCCGAAGAGTGGAAGCTGTGATGACCAACTCTTTAATATTTCTTGATACTTGTGTCAATCAACTCCAACAGTTAAAGGCTAATGAAGTTTTAAAAACCAACAAGAAATTCCTGTCATATTCACGCACACATTCCCACCACAACCCGTCAGCCATGACTCCCCCACAAGTCTCACCACCACCCACACAGACACACACAAACCCCCCCCCACACACACACACACACACACGCGCATTCTCCCCAGCATTAATCATATCTAGTGAGAGGGGCAGCTTCCCCGAGCGTTCACTAGCTTGCTGGGATCCACCTTACAATGGCCCTATATTGTAAGCCTGCTCTGATTACACACACAAGGAGCCGCATTACGCCCTGCTAACTCAATTTCCTCCCCACTAGGTCAACCTTAGTGTGTTTGTATGGTGTGGCCTGGTGTGTGCGAACTGACTGGGCACCACTTGTTCTGTTCTCCTAATTGTCCTGTATCAGATAGGAGGCAGGATACACTATTCCCTCAATCATCAAGCGCATATCGACAAAACACACTTACATTCACACCAATGGACCACTTCAAGTCACTTTTTGGAGGGAATGAAAAAAAAATATATAAAATATAATATATATATATATATATATATAAAACAAAATAATCACTGTGTGTGTGTGTGTGTGTGTGTGTATCCTGTACACACATACGCACTGAAAATGAGCACCCAAATGTTGGGGAATGAAATAACCTGCCTCCAATGACATTGTGTGCTTTAGGGAATTGCATACATGGACGACCGTCATCAAATGTTGTAGATTTACTTTTTGCCATACTTATTGTGTCTGCTAAGAGTAATTTATGGTGTATTGCTATGACAACAGCAAAGGCAACAAACTCATCGGGTCTGAATTTGCCGTCAGAGGCTGCGTCTATCGAGCATAACTTCATTGACATGAACATCAGATTGAAATTCCACACGGTTGACACAATTCCTAAATACCAAATATTGCTGTAATGATTTAATATGACCACCCTTACAAAGCGCAGATTTTTTTTTTTCCGTTTGACTGTGCCACTATCCAAAGACAATTATGAGTTTGAAAAGTGGCCAGGGTGCGGGGTGGAGATGCAAAATGTAGAGCCGCATCAATTTTGCATGATATAAAATCCAAGTCTGTTGCTGTGTCAACTTTGTCATGAGAACTTATAAAATAGTTTGCAGGCCTCCTTCTGGCACATCCCACTACAACACAGGCAAGAGCAATATGTCATACTGGGTGGGTCTCACAGTGCAAGACAGCAGATTCTCATTTTGATGCCCAGGCTGCAACATTACCATAAACCCTCCCTTGCTTTAATTTTCGAGCAAGACGTTAGATCTGCGCACTTTCCCACTGGTTGTGTGTCATAAAGTTTGTTTATCAGATGTATTCATCACATCTGAGTCTCATTGTGGCAAAAACTAACAACGAGGACATACGCCATCCAGATGTGTCTTTTTCGACTAGTTACCTTCCAGTTATAAAAAGAACACACATTTAAACCGTCGCAGACTGTTTTTTTTTTTTTTTTTAGTCGCTGACTTTACTGAACTCCCGCTCACACTTACTGTCTCTCATGGAAAGATGTCATGGTTGTACACAATGATTAGTGTGTGCGGATGATTTGTTGTGTGTTTCCACGTCTCCTCCTCTGTTTTGGTTACCAGCCTCATCTGCTCAGCCTCACTAATCAGGCCCGCTGGCAGGAAAACATGGAGACCTAAACATCAAGTCCTAACGATTCACTCGCAACAATACCTAACCTTCACACCATTATCAGACAGAAAGCATGGTGGATTTATCATGCTACAAGTTTTCACTCAATCAAATTTTCAACGACCGATAAGTGTTCAAGTCATGTTCGATTCATTCACGCGGGTTAAAAAACAGCTGACGGATTCAGTTCCAATTAGAATTTTACAATTGCAGGAAAGTCATGGCACTCGTTATTTGACACAAGATATGAGACATCAATGGCCGATTTATTGCTTTGACTCGCGAGTGTCAACTTGATATACTCAACTCACTTTGCAACAAGCAGCAGTTGAACAGATAACTTTAAATATTCTTCCAAAAAGAGGCTTCAAGCTGTTTCTTGCCACTCTAAGCTGAAGTTTACTGTCAAAATAAACAAAGCAAAAAGAATTATGAGTATTTACAACAACCACATAGCCTCACAACACCATAGGCACACGGGCTAACAATTAGCATCTGTGTGGTGGTGTTGTTATCCTTCAAGCAATGATGATCTGAACACAAATGGTGCAGCAGCTTATATAGACAGATAATATGACGATACTCACATGCATGTATTCTTTATCCTCTGTGAAAAATGACTAATATTACTGCTGTACTGAGAAACCAAGGGAGGAGCTGAATTTCCAGTGGGCCTACAGTTTCTCCGTATTAACTGTCTCATACTGCCCAAGGGGGGCCGAGTTGCACATACCGGAATAAGCAGCACAATGTGCGCTGAAGGAGGAGCGTGACAAAAACTGCAGAATTCTTTTTAATTCCATTTCATTAAGTCATCACTGTATATTTTTGTAAAGGATTTTTCTTGTTTTTGTTTTTTTGTTTTTTTTAGGATGGACGCTGGAACTGATTAATGGCATTGGCATTTCTATTCATTTGAATGGGGAAAGATGTCACAAGAACAAATTCAAGTCTTCTCTGAAAGCACCACTGCACTAGAAAAACATTGTACGATGCAATAAACCTACTAGTGTTCTTTTAATGACCTTTTTTTTTTCACAGTAGTCCTTTAGAGCAAACAACAAAACGGTTAACGGGAGGACAGATGCCCTCCACAGCACAACTGAATTCAGATTCTAAATCCCAAATGTGTACGAAACTTCATTCAGGGCTATCACGTGGGTCAAGGAAAAGAACCTCTTAAATGTAGGGGATGATGTGGCAGAAATGGGAATTTATTGTTACGGTTTCATTCACTAAGCCATCAATGAAACCCTCGGCTAAACAAGTTGCCCCTGAGAAGGATGAGCAGAGCGAAACAGACAAATAAATGACATTCGGTCCACTCAGTCAATACTACTGTCAGTATAAAGCACTAATGCAACATAAAATGTCCGCAATGGGGGACTAATAAGGGAGTAGAAAACTAATAAAGGTTTTCCAAGGGGTAGCGAAGTTATACCTTGACACTTATAATGCTGGAACATCGTCTAATTAAAAACATTAAATACAGCTTTTTGTCCAAAAAGCCCCAGTTAATGTTTTGTGGAACCCTCATCACAAATATGAAACATTAATTGCAATCAACTGAACGGCACTGCAAAAATTATTTTTCAATCTGCTCTGCTCATCTTTCTCCTCACCCTCTTTCTTTTTCCTCTGTCCAGTCAATGCAAATGGCCGCCCACTCCCGAGTCTAGTTCGGCTCCAAGTTCCGTTGGGGTCTCAAACCGTGTAAGGTGAGTGGCCCACGGCCTTCCTACATACAAATGTCGGAAAATGTGAACCGTAATTTGTTGTTAACTCATCTACTGCCTTCAGCATTTGTATTAGTCAACTGGAATCCAACCCTTGACTGCCACCCACAAACATTGTCAGTTATGTTTTTCAATGGGTAGAGTGGAAGATGGTTTCGCCCAGCAAGTGATTCCTGTTGATTGTGATTCCTCTTTTCTGAGGTTGGCCATGCCACGTTCACAAGCTGAGCTGTGATTGTTGTGTTTTGTTTTTTTTACCGGAGCAACCGTGACGCCATTTTCATTCGACAGAAAGTGGCAAAATGGCCGCCCCCTGAGATGGACCAAAGGTAGCTAGACCAGGTGGTTTTTGCTACTTAATTACTATTCCACAAGCACAATATGAATCAGAATTCATTGTTCAGACTAGTGGGGTCGCATAAAATGTATTAACTTCCCCTGTAATGCAACACCAACATTATGTTTTTAACACATACTCCAAACTTTGAACACTTTGGACATTTGTCCCAAATATGATCATCACTCTCTCTCTCTTTCTGTTTGTCTTCTCTTTC